GGAAGAGCTCACATAACCAGAGTTAGCTAAGCTGTGGGTCATACACAGGTCAGCTGCTGCACCCCAACAGACTCACTGTAGGATGACTTTGTAAATAAACAATGCTTTGGATTGAAAGCCATTTGCATGATTACACTGCCGCAGCATGTGAAAATATGCCCACACCGCCAGTTCCTGTTTCCGACTGTCTGACCTGGAATTGTCACCTCAGCGGGGGTAATTTGCACTGTATGCGGAGTGTGGCCCAACATGATTGTCCGTGGCAGTCAGGGGCAGAGAGAGTATTTGGGTTAGGAAGGATAATCCACTCACCCCTAAAGAGGATTGGAGAATCTCCCAGGCTTTGATGAGTTGTGAGCTGGTGTTTATTTCACATCACAAGAACAGGGCTGTTTGTGTCACAGCCAGGGCGCTTCGGCACGGCCACCGCACCACAGAAAGCATCATGGGTAATTGCTACTGCGCTGGAGAGATTCAGGAGTAAAGTAGTTGTAGGTAGAGGAGGCGAAGGGCGGAGCGGGTGGGATGTTTTGGTGTCCTCCCTCCTTATCTTGCCACAGATCCTGGGGTTTAGAGAGATGATGTGATAACTGAGGCTTTGCTGACCGAGACACAGATACTGCAGTGCTAATGAGCATCCTCTAAGCTCGGTGATTGTCTCCCAGAAAAGGATGCTGTATAAGAAAGGGAAAGCTTTGCACAAGCACTCAAATTCTCATTATACACAAATGGATGTTTGTTTTTGACAGAAAAACAAGAAGAAAAGAGGGTATGTTATGTGGACTTTTTTTGCAAGTGTACCACCCTCGATGCACTGCACGTCTCCAGACCTAATTGGCTCGCTTACCTTGCCTCTAAAACTCCAGGACCACCCCGGTGAAGCAGACAAGGGGTTTCTGTCACGCTTCCCTGCCTTTAAACTTAGAGTGCACACACTTTGGCCTTCACATTATATCTCAAGACATTAAAACTCTAAGCAGCTGAGATATGGCTACGCTGTTAAGGCATCTATTGTCCCCTGGAGAAAGGACATTTTAATTAACAGAAGACTAAGCCTTTTAATAAACCAGAGGCAGACTAAACAATGGCTGCCGTCTCAAAGACTGTGATGGCCTCTGAGTTGTTGTGACGTCAACAAAATGTCTTTTAGTTGTTCCCTGTGAAAGCACAAGATATATTAGATTTGTTAACAATGTGTGTCTGAGCTTTACAATCACACTACAGGTTTTGGAATAAGCCCCTTGAGTTTTTACTAAGTCAAGTTTAGTGTGAAGTGTCCATTCATTAATTATTGGCCATTTTGCTACGATTTGGGTGGTCTGTAAGATTTATGAAACTGAATGAACCTGTTTTCTGATGTGTTCGTCCATCTTAACTGACTGGCTGTGGTTTTCCATTTTCCACTCCCCATGCTGAACTAGAGGAATGTTGTCTAGCTTTTAGAATTCATATAGTCAGCCTTGACCAGAAGTCCTATACTGTGTGGAAACGAAAAGGAATCAAATGTTCAGTCAAGCGTCGACAGTCAGTGCTGCTCCATAAGGCTTCGGTAGGAAGTGAAATCTATATATAGAGAAGATATTACATTATTTATTTGGTTTAAGTAATTGTTATTATGTAAGTTAGAGTTTGATGATATATTCACAAGGCTTTACTTTGACACTGGTGCTGAATGCTAACAGGCTCACACTAAAATGCTAATAGGAATTGTAAATGACTTTTAGATAAGCATGTAACTAAGGTCACATTTGCTAACTAAAATGTATGCAACGTTAAAATGAGGCAACTCTTTTGAAGGTCATGAAACCATGCTTTGGACAAATTGAAAGGTGTACTCTGGCATTACATGAATGAGCTAAGAATCACCAAAGTCATACACATTTTTTCAAGAGAACTTCAAAATCGGTAGCAATTTTGACTGCAATTAATCAAATATTGTCAAGATATTTTCTCAAAATAAATTTTTCTGTAAAAAAATGCCATTAGAGGAAATATCCAGCACTAAATACATGTAAGTTTGGCTGACAATGATCCAATAAAAAAAATGTTTAACATTGATTTATTTAATCACACAGCAATTCCCTTGAGATTAAAACTTTTTGTTTTTTAGGGACATCTGACCTTTAGCATGAGTAACACATTTAGTATTTTTTAATCCACAAGGCTTTAATACTTTTTTACATTTGTCTATGTAAACATAGGCACGTAGGTATTCTTTTGGAGCCACTTAAAGGTATGTAAGAAGCAGCAGTGTTTTCAAGCTTTAAAGGTGGGGTATGTAATTTATTTCAGAAACACTTTTTGTTATATTCCATGGATTGCTCTTAAAGGTGGGGTAGGTAAGTTTGAGAAACCAGCTCGAGTGCGCTAGAATTTGAAAATACACAACCGGAGAAAATCTGCCACTTCCTTATAGAGCCCCTCCTCCAACACACACGAACGTGCACATGACCAATGAGGGCACGAGATAAGTTTGTGCACAGATGGAAGGCTGACAGGCAGGTAGGCCATCCAGTTATTTTAGCTGGGCCGGCTAAAATGATTGGTCGTACTTTTTACAGTATTACGGCTTCCACAGATGACATTTTTTTATGGACTTTTTGTCAAAACACTTGTTTTGATGTTAAGAGCATTCCATGGAATATAACAAAAAGTGTATCTCGAGCCGGTTTCTCAAACTTACCTACCCTACCTTTAACATCCCGATAGCAATGAATATATTAAATGCTTTGACAATAAATACATAAAAAAATGTCATCTGTGGAAGCCGTAGCGCTGTAAAAAGCACGACCAATCATTTTAGCCGGCCCGGCTAAAATAACTGGATGGCCTACCTGCCTGTCAGCCTTCCATCTGTGCACAAACTTATCTCGTGCCCTCATTGGTCATGTGCGCGTTCGTGTGTGTTGGAGGAGGGGCTCTGTAAGGAAGTCTGAAGGAAGAGGCAGATTTTTTCCGGTTGTGTACTTTCAAATTCTAGCGCACTCGAGCTGGTTTCTCCAAAATTACATACCCCACCTTTAATTCCTCTAATTGATAGTGAGTGACATGAGGAAAGCTTCTCACCCCTGAAGGCTGCAGCGTGGCCCCTCCTCTGCTGGAGATTGAAATATTGCTCTATTCAACCTCTTCGCTCACTTAAGTGGTATGTTGCTGCACAGACGTGCTCAATCAATTTACTAACTGAGTGAACCAAAACAACTCAGGATGGCACTGCCCACACATAGGTGCACAGTTACACACAGTCCAGTGTATCAATGCGTTATGTCTCAGAGATCAATAGGTACTTCAGCTTTGTGTTAGGCTGTATCTAACCGTGAGTCTAACCCGTGGCTACAAGTGAGATATAGAACCCACTTCAGGATGAAATGATTTCCCCTGTGAGATATGGACAGGGTGAATGACCCACTGACAGCTCTGTTATTGAGACAAAATGCTGCTTTTAGCGATGTTGTGCACCAAGGAGCCAATGGCCTCCCAACTCAAATCATCAATGTAGCAAACGAACAGATGCAGTGTGGGAGGCAGGACCCATTGATGAAGCCAAAATAGCTTAACACCCAAGAGACAAAATTACCTGGATTTAACCTTGCTGCTCGTTCTCTGGCTAATTTACATAAACTGGAGGAAGGAAAATAGCTCTGGACTCGGCTATTAGTGCAATTATCCTTCTCTTTTCCAATGCAAATCAATGGGGAAAAGTGTTTTTTCACCCAATGGCATCACGTAACGAGCACAGGAGTTGTAATTGCACGGTTTGGCCACTAAATAAATTGCCTTCAAAGCCCAACATTTTTACTCAGGGCTTGGCTGCGATGCTTCACCAGCATGTAATATTGTTTGATAAAAGACTCTGCAGTGATGGCCACCATTTTCCGTTGATTTGACTGAAGCCCTCCTTTTTGGCTGGATATCGTCGATGTAAGGTCCAGTGGTGGCCCGCCCTTCCTACAGCACAGGAGAATGGATGACGCTCCTGTTGTTTTTCTGAGCTACTGTTGCGTGGTGCCTGGGTTTGGTCCAGCTCATTAAAACCCAGTTAATGTTTGTGCTGATGGCTCCGCAGAGACAGCCAGAGACACAAGCCAGTGTTATTCCTGCCTCTGATGAAGCGTCAGCTCAAAGCCTTTATGGCTTACAGATGGAGGAAAATGTTCCAACAGTACAATAACCTACTCTGTAGGGATATCTTTAATTCACAAACAACTATTCCCAATTTAATATTGTCAATGTGAAAAGCCTTTTATGGTGTCTAGCAAAATATGTGCACATGGGTGTGTATCTGTGTATGTGTGTATGAGAGAGAAAGGCTGTAAATGTGTTTGTGCTGTTGTTGACAGGGAGGAGACACCTGGAACCTAGGAATCAGATTTTTGAGAGAAACTGCATTCAGACGATATCTGTTTCAAATTCAAATGTTGTGTCAGTTACCCAGCCTCCTTCCTGTCTGCCGGGTGTTTTTTTACATTTGTATTCAATCATCCGTCAGTGATACTCACACTCACTGCAACAGAGAACATCTTTCCTGAATGTGGTTACAGATACTGTCACAAAAAAGGTTTTTAGAGTAAATATGACATTCTCAGAGAGGTGCTGCATACATTTTAAAGTAAGAGCAGCAGAGGATATAGTCAGCCACAACATTTGTACAGGTTGTGTGGTGTGTTAAGAGGTGCTGATAAGCGGTCTTTGTGTGCGGCAGTCACAAAGCAGCAGATAGAGGTCAGCATGCAGAAAGCCTCAGGCTGGAGGCGATACTGAAATCTGCTCACATTTATCTTGAGAATGTGACCTTTTCATCAGACGCTAACATGAATTTGTTGACTTTCACTCAACGGTTAGAATGTGTTGCTGTTTATTGCTGCATGTTCGACGAGTAGTTCATCACATAATGTTGTCGGATCATCAGTTTAATTATTTCATCAACATATCCAGTATTCATTTCTCCATGCTGACTCTATAATCTGAGTTTGAGGCTGACTTTTGACCCCTGTGTGCAGGTGTAAAGGGGCCTCTCACTATGGGCTCTCAGCAGACAGGAAGCGGCGCTCCCAGGAGGGCGAGTGCACCGACAGCACGTCAGAACTCACCATCGCCACGCTGCCAAATGACGGCCCCACCTCCGCCGCCGTGGCCCTCCTCTCAGACGAGCCTGGTCTGGTCAACCCCGCCTTCGACCCCAGCATGGAGGACAATAGTCAGTCAGGCAGCACAACCAGCCTGGCCGCCCGCAGCAGCAGCAAGAAGAGTGAGTGTGAGTGGGCGGACGGACGTTTGCATGTGGTCATGTTCAGTCCTGCATGACGTTAGCATGTAGTTTCCTGAGAAAGAGAGTTGGAAGGAGTTTGTGTTTATCAGAGTGACAGGTTGAAAATCAATAGACAGTACAGAGCTGTGTAGTCCCAGTTCCACAGTCCCACCAGATGCTAGGTTCAAACATACTTTTACACCTGCAGACTTGAAATGTATAAATCAGGCTCTCGTTCAACCTTAAATACAGTCTTTGTTCTTTCTAATGGTCTCTGATAGAAATCCTATTAGCCAATTAGCTCTACTGCCTTGTTTTTTTTGCACCAATCCATAAAATCTCTCTTTTTGGAAAACAGTATAGAAACAGAGAGAGCGAGAGAGATGGAGAGAGAAAGTCACTGAGAGGGCAGGTACATTATGCAGTCAAGGAGAGATGGAAGGAGAGGTAGGTTAAATATAGCCTCATGCAAGTGTGTGTTAATGCCTCATGACGTGAACAGCCCTCTCCCTCCATTTCTCCCACCTGTGAAACCAGGAAGCAGTCATGAGTGTGCCTCTTTGCCTATCCATCCCTCTCCCCCCACCCCCCCCCCCCTAACGTGAGCTTACAGGCAGTGTAGACACCCAATGACGCTGCACCAGCACTTTAGGCCTGGTCGGCTGAGCACCAACGACCACCATAAGCGCCACTACTGCTGAACAAGCTGACAGCTCCAGAAGCGGCTGGCGCTTTTAAAGAATAATGTGGCTGTCAGGAGCTCTTGCATCTCTCAGAGCCCGCAGAGGGAGGGAGAGAGAGAGTGAGAGAGATAGAGGGAGGGTGGGGCGCTGCAGAGGCCCGCTGCCCCCTCTCCACTGCAGCTTCCTGTAGCCTGTTGGTCATTTGTCTAGAAAAAGCAAAGAACCAGTCAACAGTCTCCCTGAAGGCGTCTCATGTGGTCACTAAAGTCCACACTGTGTTACATCACTACTGTAGTTATGCAACCAAGTATATACTCAGCACGGATTGGCTTTATTAATTAAAGATGGTTAAAATAAGCTTTTTCATCCACTAAAAAGGAGATATTGAAGTTGTACAACAAACAAAACGTTCTACTTGAGGCAAAAATCTATTTTTACTGCAGTGACACGGTAAAATGCAGAGTGCTCCGTAAATAAAAGCACAAGTTGGTCTGGAAATTAACCTAAACCTGTCTCAGGTTTTGCGTTAAAGGTGCACTGTAATTTCCTAAAAGAAAGTTTTATTTGAGTCCATTGTTTCTCACCAAATCACAATGTCAAGGCTCATTGTTGTTGAATATTTAAAATCCTGTTTACATGTATGTAAACTAAGATGGATGTGCCGATCCAATATTCTTTTTTTCGGCATTGACATTTCTTTTGATATCTTCAGTAAACGACCTGCTCAGCAGCAGACAGACACAGAGACTAGCTGGTGAACATAATGAAACATTTAGTAGCTGAAGAGCCAGATATTTCCCTCTGTTAAAAACATTGTTCTATAGCTCTGCTTGGGCTACTAGAAACCCTTAAGGGTACATTTGATAAAAGGCAATATCATTTGCAAATCATATACTTCAGGAACAATGCATAGTCCTAAAGTTAATCTCATTATCATAACGATGAAGGGGAAAAGGATTGCTGAACACTTACTACAATTGCAAAAATCTTGTTTCACATTAATATACGTAAACAACTGTGCATTGTTTTGGCATCTATTAAGCCACGACACACATGGTTGTATTATTCAAGCTGGACCGCTCGATTGTACAACTTCATCTTCTTACCAGTTCCAACAGTATAGCAACACAGATTTCAGTCCCTAAACAAGGAGGAGGTATTGGATTGGCTGTGAGGAGGCAGATTCAGACATGTCTGGGCATGTTGAGTGTGAGGTAATACTTAAAGTGCCTCTCTTTCTCCCCTGTGTTCTTTGCAGTCAGAAATTTTGACCGTTCTTCAGTGAGGAGCCGTTCCTTCAGGAGGTTGAACCGGGCGTTCAGTGTCCTGCGGAGGACAAAGAGCGGCAACGCAGTGAGCAATGAGACGTCTGAGGAGAGAGACAACGCCAGGAACTCCAACGTGCCACAGGAAGGTATGGATCAAAGCCTGCATTTCTTCTGGGTCTTCTTTTTCATGTATATGCTTGTGCTTGTATTGTGCATTTTGTGTTGTTTCCCCAGAGAAGGCTAAAAGGCGCCTGCGTGTTTCCCTATGTGTGCATCTGTGATGTTCCCTCTGCTGTACGAGGAGGGTGACACTGCTGGGAGCCCACAGTGTAACAGTAGCATATGTTTCTTTAATAATTCAGCTGCAGATTGCATAAGTCCGCTGGTGCATCACTAGAGATGGATCAGGAGGGAGAGTGGTAGCCTGAGGCTCTTTAGACAGGGATGTTATATGGGAGGTCACTGAAAACGAGGATGGTGACCTTCTTTCTCCACTTCCAATCCTTCTCCTCCTATCTTCTTCTCCCTCCAACACAACTAGGGACAACAGTTTTTTTTTTGCACCATCTTGATGGAGTAGTCCCCTGAGAGCGCCTTGTTCTTGAGATGGTAGCTCCATAAGAAGTGATGTAGTCAATGTGCTTTAGAGATATTTAATGGAATATCCACAGCCTGACCCTCATGATATTTAAGTGGAGGAAATATAGTCGACCATAAGAGACCATAATGTTGAAGTAGAACTGCAGCATGACAGGAAGAAGAGAAGGAATGTGGTGTTGCGTAAGAATGAAGGATGACGAACGATCAGGGACTAGATTATTCTCTGAGGCCATCACTGAGGAGGCTGGGAGAATATATTAAATATTCATTGCCTGCCGCTGGAGAGACAAAGATAGACGGAGAGGATAGAAGGTTGAAGTGGAGATAGATTCATACAAATGGAGAGAAGAGCGGATGCAGAGGAAGACAATGGAGATAAGGAAATAGATAAAGGCATCGAGATGTCCCTAAGGATGGAGTAGTGGATGAATAAATAAATGACGGGATGGAGAAAGACAGTGGTTGAAAGTGTGTGTGACAGAGAGAAGGAAGGGTTACATAATAGCTGCAGGTCTCTGTGTTAATGTGGTTTCCACCCTAGAAGCAATCTGCTGCGATAAAGACAACATATTGACTTTGGAATGGAGAAAGTGCAGCGTGAGTAGAACGAACGACTCAGGCTCCAGAGATAGAAGCGCAGGGGGACACAGCCCACTGAGGAATAACGAGAGTCATTCTTCATAACCAAATCAAAATAAACAAGATGAGGAATACATCTTCTGTGGCATTTATTGGCCAAGGCTGTTGGCCAAAATCGTCACAGAAAATCCCCACCCACCTCCACGTGGTTGAGTTTAGGATGCGTCATTCTGCTGTTAAGTGGAATTCACCACTGGGCATCAGGGGAGGAGAGCATGCACAGCTGAATGAGATCAAACTAGCAGACAATGATTTACACCTGGGAGTTTTTGATATGGCAGAACCCTGTATATGTAGAGTCTTGAGGTAAAAAAAAAAGTGGGGAAAAAATACTACATGTAATATTTTATAAGTACCTCGTGCAGATTCACTGAAAAACTAGAAGATATCTGTCTTTTTCGATTAACATTTTTACTGTGCACTGGTTTGAATATGTGCAGAGTTTTGCCTTTGAGAACTGTATTCGCATCCCCGCCCAAGTAAAAAGCCTGTGGAAATTTCAAATTCAGGGTTTTCCCAAGCATACTCGCTACAGATGTATGTGACTAATGATACAAGCATCGAGCAGAATAATCAGCCAAGTACATTTTCCCTCTTGGCTTGTACAAGTTTGTTTTAGTAACCTGAGGGAGTAGAAACAGCTGGTTTTACTGCATAATCTCTCCAACATTGTCTGCTACACGTTCTCACTCAATGTGTCTCTTTCTCTGTCTTTCTCCCAATTCCTTCTCTATTATATTTGGCTGTTTGTCAAAGTTGATTTCTTTTGTCAGTGTACAGTAAAATTCAGAAATAAACTCAGCCTTTTTCTTCTCTTCGCCTTCTCCCTTAGTGCTGCCTCTTCCTCAGCTGCATCACCTGATCCCTGACGGTGAACTCACCAGTATTAAGATCACGCGGGTGGATCCTTCAGACCCGCTGGCAATCAGCATTGTCGGTGGCAATGAGACGCCCTTGGTTCGCATCCTCATTCAGGATATATACAGAGAAGGTGTCATTGCTCGAGATGGACGCTTGCTGCCCGGGGACATGATCCTGAAGGTATCACAGTCGAGATCGGTTTCACAATAAATGGAAGCAATCAAAAGTCAATTTGTAACCTGCATCTCTGTTGCCCCAACAGGTCAACGGCATTGACATCAGCAATGTACCCCACTGCTATGCCGTGGCAACACTTAAACAGCCCTGCCAGCTCCTCCGGCTTACAGTGCTCAGAGAACAGCGCCATCACTACCGCTCACATTCGCAGAGCCACCCACACGGCCACGGGCATGATGTCGCCGGGGGCCACCTATCTCACGGTCTACCCCACCATCCCTTAAGGGACGATAGCATCCATGTGGTCCTGAATAAATCCGTTCCAGATGAGCAGCTGGGCATTAAGCTAGTGAGGCGGCCGGAAGAGCATGGCGTCTTCATCTTTCACCTCCTGGAGGGCGGCCTGGCAGCACGTGATGGACAGTTGTGCGTTGGTGACCGCGTGCTGGCCATCAATGGGCACGATCTACGTTACGGAGCCCCAGAACATGCTGCTCTGCTAATCCAGGTCAGTCAACAGGTTCTCCTTTACATTAATCGATTAAAGCAGGATTTACCGTTGTATGTAAAGGTTATCATTTTAATTAGTCAAATGAGTCCACATGTTGTAACAAACCCTAAACAACAGTGTTCTGTTCTTACCCCGGATCCCTTAGGTATTAAAGATAATTGTGGTGATTCAGGATAATTGTGTGGTGCTGTGCTGTTGTGTCTGCACTCACTGCAGTTAATAGTATTTAATTGTGATGATTCCCTAATGGACCGGGCCATGCGGCTGTCTCTGGTTCCTGGTTGATGCCAGTCAATGGTGGTGTGTTTGTGGTTAATCGTGGTTAATTGCAGTGTGTTTGTGGCTGACCGTGCAGGGTCTCTGGTCCCTGGAGTTCCTGTCTGAGCAGTCTGACTGGCCTCAGTGGAGCCAACATGGCAGATTAACAACTGGCAGGGAAAAATAAAATTACTCCAGTTAAGACAATAATAGGCTGGACTGGCTAATTCAGGAGGCAGCTCTGTGCTGCAGGGACCCGAGGAAATCTCAGAGCAGGGACAGAAAAGTAGACATCTGTGTGTCTGTTGGACCACTTTCATGTGAATGTGTGAATAAGTGTTGCTGGACTTCGGTACAAGTTCGAGTCACAGAGACACGGGTTGTCGTTTGATGGCAGGGACCATAGTTTCCTGCAATGTTCTCCTTAAATGGCTTTTTCATCCAAATAAAAAAAGAAATGTGATTTTGCCTCTAACTAATTCCTAATTAAATCCAAATGGTTATTGATCAATGTAAATGTTATTTCTCAATTACATATTATTTAGCCTAAGTATGATTTCGAAATAATGTCTGAACTCTGCTGCCTCCCTTTTGTTCTGTAGGCAAGCGAGGAGGCTGTCCACTTCATCGTGTCTCGTCAGATTTGCCTGCCTACCCCGGATATCTTACAAGAAGCTCCGTGGGGCATGGACGGCCCTCCACCATATTCCCCTGTGGATATAGAGCAAACACTTCTGGTAAGCAGCACAGACAGATACACATGAAACAAGAACAGTAGCAATACACAGAGGAGCTTTGTTCCGCCGTCTCCACCTTCCATGATAAATAGTCCCTTTCAGGTGCAAATGATCCATGGCGGTATTATTCTCCCATCAAAGCTGAGCATGTCATTCAAGAAGTACTGCCGGCAGCCTTCCTTTCAGAGAATTGTTGCATCCATATCAGCCATCTTTTTTTCCCACAGAAAAGCTCCCACATGATTTAGTGTGCCTTCCACCTCCTTTCACCAAAACACTTTTTCCAGTTCCTTACTGAACTTGCTAATATCTCTATTTTCTCCTAATAATTTTTTTTAGAGTCACTATTTTAAGATACAAACTTGTGATTTCAAATTTGGTTTGAAAGTAGACAAAAAGGTTTGCCTCTGTAGATCACTATCCTTCAAAATGCATGATAATGTATCCCCTACAACATACTTTGTGGGGACAAATACCCTGTAAAATAGTTAGATAAATCACTCGTGTCTGTCATGCTGAGATCTATTATTAGATCTCAGCGCTGCGTTTGATACTGTTGACCACAACATATTGCTAGACCGTCTAGAAAACTGGGTGGGAGTTTCAGCAGTGTGGGTCGGCAGTGTCGAGCCCCCAGGTCAGACACGTGACTACCGGTGATCTCCTCCTGTGGGCGCAGCAGAAATGTCTGAATGCAGCACATTAGCAAAGCTGCATCCCATCAACCTCAATGTGTCCATGCCTTATTCATTACTACTCTACTCCCCCTCGCTCTCCCCCATGTGACATTCAAACACACTCGTCATAAATAAAATCTAACTCGCTTTTTCCCACACACAGCCTCGTTCACAAAACCAAAACGCACATCAGGACGACCATGAATAAATCAGTAGCTCTACATCGAACATCAACACAAAATGAAGAGGCACTTGAGCTGCCTGATCCTAATAACCACCATATATTATACATTACCAGTTATGCTAATGAGGTCATCAATTACATAGCAACTGTGTCAAAGGACTCCTGTTCCCATAGCATGGCTGGTATTCATATGAATTCTCCTATCATTAAGGGGCTATCGCTAGTCCCAGAGAAAACAGCCCTTTATTAATATGCAAATGTGCTGCCTGACAATCTAATTACATTATGTAGACTATGGAAGGTGCCCTTGATGTAACAATTAAGTGCATATCATGTTTGGACTGAGTTAATGTTTTTATAAAAATGTGGATACACGAGAGTGATCCATTGCGACAGGTGTGCCATGGAAGTGGAACATAAAATAGGACAAGGTATTAATGCAAAACCTTTTCTCTGTGTGTTTCCTGTCCCATCTAAAGGACTCTTGTCAGAAGCCTGCATGCTATGAGAAGACGGTAACACTGACCAAGGAGCCGTATGACTCCCTGGGTATGACGGTGGCGGGTGGCATGTCCAGCCGAGGGTGGGACCTCCCCATTTACGTCACGAATGTGGACTCTGATGGAGTGGTGGGACAGGAGGGCTCCATCCGCAAAGGTAAAATGAACTCCTAATGAACCCCTTGAAGTCTCTTCCATTACTTACCTGCACACTGTTATAATAATTAGAATATAACTCATTTGCAAGGATTAAAGGGATTGTCATGTTCAGGGCTTTTGAGCAAATAATTACTAAATTAGTGGATGTTGTTTTTAGTTTTGTGCGGTTGTCCTCTACTTAAGCGCACATTATGGCTGACAGACGATAATGGATTTTGTCTTTGCTGATGAATACTTAGAATATAACAAACTGAGGGATTGATGAACACTTAAGATTCATGTTTCATTATGAAGTGTATTCATCCAGCAAAAGCCTCAGTGATGCTGCTGTGGATCACTACCTCGTAAATTGGCTCTTACAAACTTACACAAAAACACAAGCAAACATTTGCATAGCAGGGCTCGGGACTTATTTTGTTCCAGAGGAGTATTTGTGGAGTACTTAATGATATCATTATATGAAATCAGTCAGCTCTGAAATACAGCAAAACAGAGTGGCCCCAAAATAGCTGGATGTAATAGCAGTAGCCTTGAGATCCCATATTGCAGTTGAAGGCAGGGGAGTGAGAGATTTCAGCTGATTTTAACTGTTTATTCCAGTCTATCCAAATTAAAACACATTTAGCCTGTCATTACACTCATTCCTTTTCTGAGACTCTCAACGAGAAAAACTCTGTGAGCATAAAGCCTTCATAAAAACAGAGAAATCTGAGTCAGTTTGACCTGTGCATGGTTCAAGGTGCACATTACTTTATCCTTATGGGACAACACAGCAACAGCTGCTGTCTCGGTTTGTGTGGTTATGAAATATCTTTGTGTATTGAAATAGATATTTCATTTGTATTAGCATATCCGCGCATCGCAAGTGTGTCCTTTGGGTTGCTCATTAGCTGGTTGGACTATGCCGTCTGTTTTTCTCTTTACCACTCTCATCGCTAGGAGGCTTTTTAAAGCACAGGTGGCGTTGGCTTCTATCCCTTTGTGTTGCAGCAGGAAGGTTGTTGAATATTAAAAAGGCAGATGATGAGTCCCCGCACCGCGAGGTCTTTTGAAAAGCATTTATCAGGGCAGCAACCCTGGGCAGTGGATGAGCTGTGCTGTCCACTTTCTCCCCCGCAGGTGACATCTTGTTAAACGTGAACGGGGTGGACTTGACGGGGGTGACGCGAGGCGAAGCCGTGGCCAACTTGAAGAACACCTCCTCCCCCGTAGTGCTCAAGGTCTTGGAGATGCGTCCTCCAGAAGACAGCATGCAGGACTGCGCCATGCCGCCCTGTCTCACACCTTCACCCACAGACAGCACCAAGAGCCCCGTGCCCAATGATGATTACTCACCAATCTGGGTGTCATGGCTGCAGCTACCCAGGTGAGCACCTCTTGATGTCTCAGTTCTCACTAAATCTACATTTTGTACTTTCTCCACTCCTTTTTTCTGAGCCCAGTATAATTATATCCCCCCTCCACACTGGTCCTTTTGACCTCTGCCAGCTGGTGCCAACGGACATTTTGACAGAGCCAGCTGGGAAGAGAGAACTCATTATACTTTCAAACTAACTTTTCAGCTTAAATATTCACTGCTGCTATATCAGTAGAACTTCTGAGAATCAAAAACGTTCAGATTTTAATATATTTGAAATTCAATCTTTAAGACAGTGGCATGCTGACAGAGATAAACAACTGCTGCTGAAATAATAATGTATATTTCTCTGGCGCAGCTAAAAACATTTAAATGTAAATTTCATTTGAGGTATATTTATGAGATATAAAGTTCAACCATTCTCATTGTTACACTTCTCTCTGTAAGGAAAAGTCACACCTTAAAAAAAGAAGCCTTTGTCTTCTGAGCAGAGCCGGTTTCAGCTATCTAGCTCCAGCACACACACTCAGCATGGATATACACTAGATACAATTCAAAGATGCAGTTGAGAGATTAGTGTGTTTAATCTCTTTCTTGGCCCATGCAGGCATCTCTACTGCTGCAAAGACATTGTGCTGCGGCGGAGCACTTCGGGCAGTCTGGGCTTCAGCATCGTGGGAGGTCAGGAGGAGGTCAACTGCAATCAATCCTTTTTTATCCGCTCCATCGTGGAGGGGACACCAGCCTACAATGATGGCAGGATAAGGTAGGCGACGAGAAAATCTGTTTTGGACTAGCTCCAACACAGCTGTATTTATAATGTCTGGGTTTAACCTATGGTAATTTACATAATCATAAGTCAAGCTAATTTTTGTATGGTCATCTCACTGTGTGCAGGTGTGGGGACATTTTGCTGGAGGTGAACGGGACGAGTACATGGGGGATGACCCACACAGCGTTGGTGCGCCTTTTAAAGGAGCTGCGGGGCAGGATCACCCTGACCATCGTCTCCTGGCCGGGCAGTCTGCTGTAGCGGTGCTAAATCTTCAGTGGCACGGACCAAGGAATGTTGGACTTCAGAGCTTTGGACTTTCTGACCACCCTAAGCTTGCTGTGTGGGAGAAGCTTAGAATAGTGCTATAGCTGTATGGATATCTCACTTCTGATGGACAGCTGAGACTTTTTCCAGGAGTTTGGAGAGGGACAAACATGAGACTGGATTGTTACCAGAGGTTAACTTGCCCCCCCCCCCCCCCCCCAAGAATGCTGAACAGGGAGGATCCAAAGCTGAGCCACTTCAGACTTTAATGTTGGTCTTGTCTGTTTAGAGTAAACGTCTCTGGCACAGCATACAGTGAGTCTGGTGGGTGGATCGAGAGGAGACACAACACGTTGCCAATTCCAGTAGTTATATATTAGAGGTATGCGTTAAGTTGGACTCACATTTCTTTACTGTAAATGTTGGGTGTCTAAAAAAAAAAGTACTGATCCAAGCACTTGTAATACGTTTCTTTTGTTTGTTTGTGGTATGGCCTTTTAATATCGGCTCCATTCTGTTTGTACTGACAGTGGTTGTCATTTTCATCTGTTGACCTGATGACACGTTGCCAAGTAGTAGTCTGTGTTGAGGTTTTTTCTATTATTTCAGAAGCTATGGCTTAATTATCCAACCACTGGAAATAAAAAGAGTATATTAAGAAAATAAAAAGATCAATGTGTTCATAACATGTTAAAAAATAATATTTAATTAGGTGACATTATGGAGGCCTTACAAATTTTCTTACTTTTAAGAAAAAAAACTGACTTGGTTTCTGTGTATCAGTGGATGGTCTGAGGCCCATCTGCTGCGGTTCTATCTGTCATGCTTCGGCCTGTGTAGTATATCTGATGGTACATTTGGTTAAATGATCAATAAAGTCATTTGAAAATGAGAGTTGTGAGAGAAAATACTTATACATACTTAAAATCCTTACTTCAACTCAACAAAATCGACTAAAAGCAGGTGCAGCGTAAACATTTTGTACACAATACATACATACAAATCTTCACCTTTTAACAAAATGTTACACAATGCAACATTTCTTATAGATACAGTTAGATGCCAAAGGGCAGGTCCTCTCATTAAATAGATTGAGAAACTGAAAGCCACTCAGATTTTAATTTCCTCTCTTGGCCAGCAGAGAACATCATGTTGATCTCCTTGTCCTTCCTATTTGTTGGCCTTTTTGTTTTTGTGTCTACTCTGACTTTCTCTGTCCTCACCACCGTCCCTCTTGCTCGTGCTGCCTCTGCTGCTGTGGAGGACAATGACATTATCATCATCATATCTCTATTATTTTTTTAATTGCTTTTTCATGAGGACTATGTGAGTCTGTTTCTCTGTCAGACCTGCGTGATGATTTCTTCTTTCCTTCGCTGTTGTCTCTGTGACTGCTCTCTCTGGGCCTCTCACTGACCCTTTCAGAACTGTGGCAGCTGTGCTTTCGCTCCTCCTCATTCCTCTCTTTTCCACTGAAAAACATCATACATGCAAATTGTCTGTTTTACATTTCCTTCTAATGACACTGGAGGCATTTTCATTGGGAAACAAACGAACTCAAAGCCCACAGTAAATTAGTTTGCTGGCCTTTTTTCCCTTTTCTCCAGCGGGAGAGAGATAATTCAGAACTCAAGGGACTAAAACCTTAACCACAGTGCCTGCTGTCTGCCTGCCTGAGCTTTTGTAGCTTCTCCCCTGGCCTTGACTTTAGGTAACAAAGAGCTAAACACTAGTGTCACAGCATGCCCTTAAAGCCAAGCACGCATGCCGCAGTATCCTCTAAGCCAAAAAAAACCTTAGAAAATATATTATTCCCTGTAGGACCTGCAGTCCTATGAATGAATGATCTGTCACTACTTTACACCTTTCCTGTCCTCTGAAAACACATATGCAAACACATTTAAAGGAAGATCAATCAAATGTTGTTGGTTAAGAGAAACACCTGCAAACATGGTTTTAACTTTCAACTAAATGCTATAGTCCAGTTGTTCAATATTGAAATCACCCTGTTTTAATTTTCAGAGATGTGACAACATTGTATGGTTGCCAGTTGTCATTTTCACCAGCATCATATGTCTTAGTAAATCGTTTTCAGGTGCACATCATTGTAAATAATTACATAAATATAGTTTTAACAATTAGCTTACTTAATTTGTATTCATTTTAGCATTGAGAAATGGCATGAAAAAACCCCCACTTGTATACTGTAGTGTCCCTGAACAGTAGCTCCCTCCTTTAAACGATGCATTCATTACAGTGTAACCTTCAGAGGTCGTCTGTAGTAATCAGACGCTGGTTGGCTGCAACACTGTGTCCTCCCAAGATGAGATTCACCATAACATGTTTCCACTATAGACTGTCCGTTCATCATGCTTAGTTAGTATATTTACAACACAAAAACACTAAATGAAGATATCCCTGTCAGCTTGACTCTGCCTGCTTCTATATAAGGGGGTTTATAATACACAGATGGTTTCCTCAAAAGCATGTTAATTGTTGGGCTGTGATATTCATGCTTGATATTAACATATTAAATACAATTAATATGCAGATTCGACTAAGACCTTCTGACACATCCTATGGCCTTAATGTGTCTAAAAGGAACTACACAGTCTATCCTTTTTATAAAAAAAATATTGTATTATGTTTACTGAAAAGACCAAGAATATAGATTCAAGATTTGAATCAAGCTTAATCCAGGGTCAATGGAAGACAGTGACAGATCTGCACCAAAACAAGATTAAGCTGTTTGTCTTCCCTCTACGATTTGTTTCAGTTCAATGGACAGCGATTACCAAAGCACCCCAGGGTAAAGAAGAAGTACTACTGTTTGTTACCGGCCATTTGGAGGTCCATTTAATCAGGCTGTTGATGGAACCATGATTGTGTTAAGACACCAATGCCTCCAGTATGCTCTAGAATCAACAAAGAGACTACTAAGAAGCAATATTTCCTTAGGAGGGTGAGTGTGAAATCAAACAAAATTGGGGGCTCGGGTCAATTCAAACCAACAAAAGAAAAGAAGCAGAAACTGCTGCTGACGGTGTGAGAGACAAACTGCTTTGTGAGAGATTACCAGTGTGTAGTGCCCCTTGGGAGGAGAGCTTTAATCCCTACAAAGGAAACAAGTGAACAAGTTTTCAAGTGTGCTTGTTTTTCCAGTAGATAATTTTCCTCCATTTTCAAAAGTAACACCATTGTTATGTTCTTGGTTTTGTTTTATCCAATGCAAGAAGCAGTTTGGATTTTCCTATGCTGCTTCTACACATTTTTGAGGGCGCTGAATGATGCTAATTCAGATTGGACGGTCATAGCATTAGGAACGTCTACAATTATAGAATAGGAGCTGTGACGACACAGACTGAGTTTGAATGACATTTCAGAGAATATCTATTCACTAATGAGAGAACCTAACATCCCAAAGGGGAACTTGTACTGTGTATACATTTAGAATATTTTACTTTCTCTCTCACACTCTCCTCAACACGAGTCTGCTTGGCACAGCTTGCAGATTTAGAATAATCACCCTGACCTTTAAGAACCATCACGCTGGCTGAAGGCATTTCTCTCTTCCCCTATAAAAGTATATTTTTGCTCAATAAAGTCTTAGGAAAAGTACAGATACTGCACTGCTAAGGCAAACAGCTCGCACATGGCTGGAGTAATTATTACCACTCAACACACAGAGAGAGAGAGCGCCTTAAGGGGCAGAGTTGTAGCAAGTACAAAGCTAAATATATTCAATATTTGGAGACAGCTCTTGTGTTAGCAGCGTGGATAAGGACCCAAGGCCCCACATTTGTTCTTGCTCAGAGCCATTAGTTTTACACAGAAACAACCACCTCACATAACACCAAAAAAGCACATTGAAACAGTTCCCAAGGAGGCAGTGTTAGAAGGACTAAATTATATTATGGGAGCCTCTGGATTTGTTTGTACATTTTATGATTGTATTCATCTATAGGGCCCAGGCCTTTCAGGGCCGGCAGTATCACAGATTTTCATAAAATGCCTGAGCCTGCCGAGATGTAATTTGGTCCACTCTATCCCTTCAGTCGTTTAACTGAGAAAGCCAGAGGATTCAGTGAGGCACACTGAGGATATGAAACACAATTTATGATTGGCACAATTAACATGCAAGTATATCCACAAGAATGAATAGCAGCTGTGAGTTGAGGGATAGAGCGTAACATCTAATGACACATGGAGTAGGAGATGCTGTTATTTCAGCTACATTATAGTCAAGAATGATTGTAGAGTCGCCAAAACAACGCAGCTGTGCCAGAGTGTGGCAGTACTTTGATGTCAACACTAATCCAGCTTTTTCTTCTCCAAGATTAAATAAACAATGAGCATCAATCAAAATCAATAACTTAATTCAACCTTTTTTAGTGTCTTTACTACTTCTCCTCTCTCCTGTTCCTACCTACTAGTAATGTGTGATAATCATGCTTGATATTAACGTAAGAGCCAATTAATATGTAGATTCCACTAATGTGATCTTATTCATTATACACATCCCATGGCGCTATGTGTCTAAAAGAAACTGCACAGTCAATCCCACTTACTGTAGAAAACATTCTGGCACTTCCCTTGTGATTAGTTTCAGTTCTTTGGACAGCGACTGCTAGCCACCTGGGTTTGTAGGGAAGAACAATGCTGGATTGTTTGATTTGGCCAAAAGAAACCCACCATCTAATTAGGTTATTGATGGAACCATGATTGTGTAAAAACACTGTTGCCAATCAGTTTGCTCCAGACACAACAAAGAAACTAAGCCAATTTTTCCTAGGAGGGTTGTGTAAAATTGAACAGAATTGGGGGCTCAGGTCAATTTAAACCTTTGAAAGAAAATAAGCAGAAAGTGCCGCTGAGTGTGAGAGAAACAAACATGTTTTGTAAAAGATTACCAGTGTGCAGCGCCCTTGGGAAGAGAGCTTTACCCCATAAAAATCAAACAAGAGAGCAAGTGTTGTTCGCTGTAAGTGGCAAGGAACAGAATGCTGTTGCTGTACAGTATGTTTAAATAATATGGACAGAATGTAGCATTGAATCCAAGAACAGGCAAGCACTGTAGAAGGAACATTCAAATTGATTAGGTACAGGCCCTCAGATCGGCTCTGGAAAGAAATGTGATTCATGCATGAAGTTGAGTCAGAAAGACAAAACGTATGTAAAATTAGGGGCTGAGTAAGTTTCGTAGAGGGAAAATAAAAACAGATGTAGGTGGAATCCAATATATAAGGCCTCAAGTCAGACCCTGGAGCCAGGATAAAAGTGGCACTAAGGCACAAAGCAGCTGAAGAAAATCAAGTAAAACCTACTGTATCCCTCTCGGCCTATGGTAGAAGAAAAGATCCCTTTGGATCTTGCTATGCCTCCTGAATCTAAAACTAAACTTGGAAGGGAGTCAGGGCAGCTCCTCCAAATCCCCAGACTACCATTAAAGTTGCATTGAGGATTCTTTTTTGAAATGACATGCAAGACTTGTGAAACTCCACTTTTTTGCTAAGGAAGGGAATCACTGAATAGGACTGTTACTGTTAACTGGTGGAAATTAGTTTCAGGCAGTAAAATGCTATTGCAGTTATGAATTAGTAATGCTCTAATTTGGTTTCAATGAATTGTATTACATCTGCCTTTTTTTCAATTACCAGTTCCTGTGCCATATTCAAAGTCTGCTAAATACTGTGTTCTCACTAGCCTTACAACACTTTCTAATAAGCTTTTCGGGCAAGTTTAAGCAGAAATACAATTATCATTTTAATTGCCTCATCACACTGGGACTTCACTCAGTTATTATCAGATGAACTTACTGGCTAGTGCATGCAAGCTTTTCAATAGACCAGTGATCAAACAGCCAAGAGTATAATAATTCGATTTACGTCTCTT